TAGAAACAATGATTCTAGTATTTCCCCAATAAGGTATCATTTGGGGTTCCCCGGATTCATCACGAGTACAATTGATAAAAAAGGAAGAGTTCAGGTAACAATTTTCTTTAACCCCAAATGGGTATGGAATTGTGAGATTACCACAGTGGTCAGGGCAGTTAGGGAGGGCTAATTGAGGTCCTTCTGTTATTGCAGCTGCTTGTGCAATTAGCAATGAGAGTGGCATGAGCACCCCAAGAAAGCAGTAGTGTAAGACCATTTTATATTTCTAACCATATGCATTATATTATTCTGCCACGCAAAGAAAAATTGCAATGAATAATAATAAATACCACATATGCGTTTACAATTCATATAATACTACATCACCAGGAACAAGTCAATTTGAAAAGTCTTCGCCAGAGACTTAAGGAGGGGCATGGTACCTGCAGTCTTTGCTTGTTCCAATCTTTTGTGTTTGGGGCTTCAACAATTTGTAGCGGTTTCACTTCGTTGGGCTGTTTTTGTCATGCTTATAACTACCAATCCAAAATCTCAAATACACCCTTTATGCATAAGACACTGTCTTCTAAATGCTCCTGCAGCAGCAACAAGAATCAGAGTTTTCCCAATATTTAGTATATCACATATCCCTCAAGTTTCTATAAAAATTACTCAAACACAATGGTATCTCCTAACATCAACTATGTAGCAACTAGCTAATGTTCCTTCAAATCTCTATAGTTAATGTTAATTTTTCCTTCAAACATATACAATTGATACCAAGCGAAAACCTTAACTTGCACAGGATATATCTGGTAGATACGTCACACCGGGAAAAAGTTTTCATATAGATAAAAATCAACAAGTCAATCAAGTAATGACATGATTAACATCTCAATTTGCATTCTGCCATACCTGCTAGTTGTACCAGTAGTAATTGTGATACAAGGACTACAATCACCTCTAACGTCATCAACGGAAGCGTTTGAAGGTGACCCTAGAGAAAGGGAAGTCTGATCTTTGGGACCCAAATCGTCATCAGCATTAGTTCCCCGTGGATGATTTGCCATAATTCTCATTCCCTCGAGCTCTGTAGCCGGATTCTTTTGCAATAGAGTTTTTTTTTGGGATAAAAAAATAATAACTTCATTCATAAATTTCAAAAGCATACAGGAAAGCTAAACCCTTTTGCAATAGAGTTCTCATCAGTAGTGTGTGATCTTTTTCTCTTCATGATCATAGTACAAAAGCAGGGGGGAAATAACCTTAAGAAGTATCTCATTACCTTAGCGTGGGGTTGGATTTCTTACCTATGATTTTGGTAATTATTACTACTTACAATATGAATAGCCTAGATATGGAAAATAATCAAACACCGCATGTATAGTTCTGCAATATATACATCCATCACTGCATCAAGTTATAACTATCGCCCATCATCATATGGCATTAACATTTGGACTTGCATGCTGTCATAGCCATTAGTTGCACCAGTACTAGAACCGGAATTGCCTCTAACATCCACTGCGTAAGTGTTTGAAGGTGACCCGAGCAAGTGCACAGTCTCTTCAGGAAAGATATTAGAACTTTCCCATGGATGCTTTGCCATTATTCTAATCCCCTCTAGCTCTGAGGCTACCTCTTTCATGGTTGGCCTTTCCTCCCCTTTTAACTTGACACATCTTTTTGCGAGATTAGCTACACTTTTTAGGGTCTCAATATTTCCTTCACCAAATAACTCATCGTCCCAAATTCGATTCAAGCCATTTTCTTCCATTGAACAAACAAAGAAGCTTGCTAGGTTTCTCTCAGACTCAGGCCTGTCAAAAGAAAGAGCTACTTTGCTTGTTAGAAGCTCCACCAGGACAACTCCAAAACTATAGACATCACTTTTTTGTGTTAGTTGGTTTGAATGGAAATATTCAGGATCTAAGTATCCAAGTGTCCCTTGCACTAAAGTTGTTACTTGAGTTTGATCCATAGGAACCAAACGCGAAGCACCAAAATCTGACACTTTCGCCGCATAATTGTCATCTAACAGTATATTCATTGCTTTCACATCTCGATGTATGATTGGTGTGGAAGTAGAGGAGTGTAAATATGCCAATGCTCCTGCAGTTTCAGCTGCAATCTTCAATCGTAATTCCCATGCAAGTGAGGACCCTTCGCCTTTTTTACCATGAATGCAATCAAAAAGAGTGCCATTGGTGATGTATTCATAAACTAGCAAAGGCACTGGTGTCTCTAAACAGCAACCCAGAAGCCTCACTACATTTCTGTGATTGATTTGAGATAGAATAATCACCTCATTGACAAACTGCTCTTTCTGGGTTGGGACACCAACTTTTGACTTCTTTATGGCAACCACTTTTTTATCTGCAAGTATTCCTTTGTAAACGATTCCATAACCCCCTTCACCAAGAACTCTACTCTCATGGTAATTGTCTGTGGCCTTCTCTAGTTCTTCTGCAGTAAAAATCTTGGTCGTCTCTACGCTCTCAACCCCGTGATAACTAGCAAGTTGTTGTTGTAACAGTAAGCCGCCATTTTCTTTGAAGTACTTCTCTTTAAGTTTGATGTACTTTCGTTTCTTTATTCCCCAATATATCGGCCATGAACTTGCAACCAGTAAAACTAAGAGGCCTACACCGATACCTGCACGTTAGAAGCTAAACATAAGGACCATATTGGATTCTCTAATTCCATTGGGCAGGGTGTTAAAACTCATTTTGGTATGTTGAAGGAAAACATCATGGTATTAGAATACTTGTACAAACCTAATAGCTTCATAGGTTTTAAAGTGAGAGAGAATTATGTGGTGATGCCTTTAACAAAAACATGCTCCATCTCTCCCACTAAAATTTTTACTCTAATTTCAATCTTTCCCAAAAACCTCAACACACTTAACATTTTTCTCACTCTCTTAGAAGCTTCATAAAAACAAAACCTTAAGAACAGAACTTCCTAAAAACAGAGCTTCTTAAAAACAGAGCTTCAAAAAACAGAGCTTTCTCTGTTTGAGCTCAAAAGTTTGACTGAAGTAAATAGATGTTGAGATTAAGCATATAAGAGTATATATTATGCATCACCGTGAAACTACTCCCCTAATTATTTTGAATTTGGGTTTGTTTAAGCTTTAATTTTAAAGATCTAAAGGAGCAAGAAAACATACTCAATGAAAGAATAGGCAGAAGACTACGGTTCTTTGATTGAATGGGATTCTCTTTGGTGCAACCGGTTCCATTTTTCATGCCATCGCCTCTGTACCCCTGTGGACAACCACAGGTATAATTTCCAGGTACATTTATGCACGTCCCACTGCAGGGGCTCGTGATCATGCACTCATCAATATCTGGTAAGAACAAAAGCATTTACATAATACATTACAACCCAACACATACTTATGCATCTTTAAATTCCTTGTTACGTTTTCACATGTGTGCGCATGCGTGCCGGCATGTCTTTAAACAAATTTAAAGTGTTCTCACCTTCGCAGCCATCTGGAAGATATGGGTTGCCATGGTAGCCCTGCAAGCACTGACAAATGTAACCAGCAGAGCGACCGACCAGGTTGACACACTTGCTATTTGCTTTACATGCAAAATCCTTCCTCTTTTGAGCCTTATTACATGGATCTGGATCCTCCCCAATTGCCCAATTAAGAACCGCTGGAAGTTCTGTTATGCTCTCCAGTTGTTGAAAACTTGAATTGGAGAATTTGAACTGTGTTTCTTCCACAAGGAAAGCGTAACTGCAGTTGGTCAAGTCCCCTACTAATTTGGTATGATTGTAAGTGCTAGACAATGTCACAGTTAGATTTTGCAGCCCACTGGGGATGTTAGTTTGGCAGCACCCAATTCCGGAGCAAGAGTCCTGATATTCAATGCTGTCAAGGCTATCACATAAGGACATACACCCGGCCAAGTAACTTTCTTGGTTATTCGGGAAAGCGCGGTAGCCTTGGAAAATAGCAATGGTGTCACAGCCAACAGCTATGAACTTGTTTTTGGCCTGGGAGATGGTGAAAGGAGGCACTGAAAACCAAGGGTTGTTGTTGTAGGTTTGGTTGCCCAGCTGGTTATAACAATCTTTGGCTACAAACTGCAATATTTGCAGCTCAGCCTCTTCAAGTGAGATGTTAGAAACAATGATGCCACTATTTCCCCAATATGGTACTATTTGGGGTTCCCTGGATTCGTCATGAGTACAATTGATAAAAAAGGAAGAGTTCAAGTAACAATTTTCTTTAACCCCAAATGGGTATGGAATTGTGAGATTACCACAGTTGTTAGGGCAGTTGGGGCGGGCTAATGGAGCTCCATCTGTTGTTGCAGTTGCTTGTGCAATTAGCAATGAGAGTGGCACAAGCACCCCGATTAAGCAGTAGTGTGAGACCATTTTGTATAATTGTATAATGTCTTTTCTAGTGTGAGACCATTTTCTTTCGGCTATATAGGCGAAGTGGTTGTAGTGAAGAGACTTGGTCAATGGAGAAATTTTTAGGTGTACTTGGTGTTATAGATATTAGTCTCGTTTCGTTCAATAGACGCATGGTTGTAGACAACCGGTGTTAGGAAAGCTTTTCTTTAGTAATAAGTGCAAATTACAGGAAAAAGGTTGATTGCTACGTCTATTAATGTTTATTTTTCCTGACCTACTTGGTGAGACTTCGGAGGCGTGGGCATCTTTATTATGATCAAGACCTCAGATGCATAATATATATATTTCTAACCATATACATTATATTATTGCAACACGCAGAGAAAAATTGCAATGAATAATAATAAACACCACATGTGCGTTTACAATTCATATAATACTACGTCACCAGGAACAAGTCAATTCGAAAAGTCTTCGCCAGAGATGGGCATGGTACCTGCAGTCTTTGCGTGTTCCTATCTTTTGTGTTTGGGGCTTCAACAATTCGTAGGTGTTTCAATTCGTTGGGCTGTTTTTGTCATGCCTAGCTACCAATCCAAAATCTCAAACACACCCTTTATGCATATAGACAGTGTCTTCTAAATACTCCTGCAGCAGCAACAAGAATCAGAGTTTATATAAAAATTACTTAAACACAATAGTACCTCCTAACATCAACAATGTAGCAACTAGTTCATGTTCCTTCAAATCTCTCTAGTTAATGTTAATTTTTCCTTCAAAAATTTACAACTGATACCAAGAGAAAAACTTAATTTGAACAGGATATATCTGGTATTTTATGTACACCCGGAAAAAGTTTTCATATAGATAAAAATCAACAATTCAATCAATTAATGACATGATTAACATCTCAATTTGCATTCTGCCATACCTGCTAGTTGTACCAGTAGTAATTGTGGTACAAGGACCACAATCACCTCTAATGTCATCATCGGAAGTGTTTGAAGGTGACCCCAGCGAAAGGGAAGTCTGATCTTCGGGACCCAAATTGTCATCAGCATTAGTTCCCCAAGGATGATTTGCCATAATTCTCATTCCCTCGAGCTCTGTAGCTACTTCTCTCATTGTAGGCCTTTCCTCCCCTTTTAACTTTAGACATCTTTTTGCGAGACGGGCCACATTTCTTACTGTCTCAATATTTCCTTCACTGACTATGTCACCATCAAGAATATGATTTAGGCGCTCTTCTTCTACTGCACAAACAAACATTCTTGCTAGGCTTCTCTCTGACTCAGGCCTATCGTATGAAAATGCCACTTTGCTTGTCAATAGTTCTGCTAGCACAACTCCAAAGCTATAAACATCACTCTTTTCTGTTAGTTGGTTCGATTGGAGATATGCAGGGTCTAAATATCCAAGTGTTCCCTCCACGAAAGTTACAATTTCAGTTTGATCTAAAGGAATCAATACTGAAGCTCCAAAGTCTGACACTTTCGCCGTGTAATTTTCATCTAAAAGTATATTCGTGGCTTTAACATCTCGGTGTATGATTTGCATGAAAGTGGAGGAGTGTAAATATGCTAGAGCTCCTGCAGTTTCTGCAGCAATCTTCAATCGTAATTCCCATGTAAGCGATGATCTTTTGTTCTCTTTACCATGAACATGCTCAAAAAGAGTGCCATTGGTGATGAACTCGTAAACTAGTAACGGCACTTCTGTCTCTAAACAACAACCTAACAGCCTCACCACATTTCTGTGGTTGATTTCAGAAAGAACAACCAACTCATTAACAAACTGTTCACTCTGGGTTGGAGCACCAATTTTGGACTTCTTAATGGCAACAGTTCTGTTATTTGGTAAAATTCCTTTGTAAACTATTCCATAAGATCCTTTGCCAAGGACCCCACCGTCATCGTAATTGTTTGTGGCCTTTTCAAGTTCTTCTGCACAAAAGATTCTGGTTGTCTCAATCCCATGATTAGCAAGCTTTTGTTGCAACAATAAACCACCATTGTCTTGAAAGTACTTTTCTTTGAGTTTGATGTACCTTCGCTGCTTCATCCCCCAATATATAGAGCATGAACTTCCAACCAGTAAAGCTAAGATGACACTAATTCCTGCACATAAGTGAAACATACCCAACTGGATTTCATAATTTTTTTTTTTTTCATTCTATACTTTTCATGGGGCAGGATGTTTAAAATAAGATTGGTTGAAAGAAGTGTGTTTTACTTAATCTATCTTTTTCTGTATATATGTACTGCTCTCTATTTTAAGCTCAAAGTATTGAAAAAAGCAATATATTCAGATTAATTCACTAGTTAAATAAACAATACATACCCATAACAATGATAACAATCGTCTTTGATTTATCTTTGCAACTTTTTCCTTTCATGCCATTGGGACATATACAAGAGTAATTCCCAGGTGTATTTACACAACTTCCAGCATAGCAGGGGTTTGACTTGCACTCATCGATATCTGAAAAAACATGTCACATTTTATAACCCAATTTATAAAATATTTAAAATAGAACAACAAAAAATCACTAAGATGATCTCATCTCATCACCTTGGCAACCATCTGGAAGGTATGGGTTTCCTTGGTAACCTTCCTTGCACTGGCAAATGTAACCTGTAGGCCGGATGACATTGGGCCAATTTATGCATGTGCTGTTTCCCTTGCAAGCAAAGTCAACAAGCTTGCTCCTTTGTTCTAAATCACATGGACCATGATCCCCAATTTCCCAATTGACAACAACTGGAAGGTGACTTGTGTTGCTGAGTTGCTGAAAACTTGTGTTTGGGGAGAATGTGAACTCGCTTTTTTCTGCAAGGAAGGCATACCTACACGGGTAGCTAGAGTCCCAGTTGGTAGGAATACTGCGACTCAATATAATAGAAATATATTGCACCCCACTAGGGAGTGAAGACAGGGAACAGGCAAAGCCAGAGCAAGAGTCGTCAGTAATTACTAGGTCGGTGTCATTGCCTGAAGAATTATCGTCACAAAAGGTGAAGCAATAGCGATGGATATTGGACAAGGTGTGTCCGTCTAGGCCAAGGCCTGGACGGAAGCCTAAAAGATTTCCTGAAGAGCCACAACCAATGGTGAAAAAATTGTTTTTGGTATTGGAGAAGGTGAAAGGAGGGGGCAGGGGGAGATCAGTTTCCAAACCGACACTCAGATCTGCATCGCAAGCTCGGGTTATGGGCTGCAAAACATGCAACTCACCCTTAAGAGAGATGTTAGTAACGTGGATTTGAATGAGATTATCAGTGCCTGATCTCTTTGTCAAATATGGTATTGGTTCTTCGTCGGGAGTGGTACCCGTAGTACAATTGATATAGAACTCAGGTCCCCGGTAACAACCTTTAGCCATGCCAAATGGATATGGAATTGTGACATTACCGCAGTGGTCGGAGCAGCCATGCAGGGCTTGAGGTAAGAGGGCTTGATCTGCTTCAGCTGTTGTTGGTAATACAAACACCACTAGTACTCCTAGTATTAGCAATGAGATGATCTGTGGCATAAGTAGCATCCCATGTAAGGGATGTAAGCAAAACCTCATAGTCTTGTTTTGTTTGGGAGTTGAGTTGGGACTAGCCAGAATAAAGTGGCTGGGGCAAAAATGTGAAGAGGATCATCTCTGTTGCAAGAGGTTAAATGGCTGTAGGAATGAGTGTCAACCGCAAAATCAAATCAATGGCTGTGATTAAGCTGAGCCATGTAACCCCTAGGAGAATATATTCCATGACCTGCTGAGATACCCATATACTGACCAGACACATATTCAATATCCCATCAAATGGTTCTAGTCTCCTTATCGACTTTAATAGGCATCTTTAAAAGGAAACGATCTTGAGTAATTAAAAGAAAATGATATTGAGTAATTAAAAGAAACAGATCTTGAGTAATTAAAAGGAAAAGATGTGATCACAATCAAAATGCAACACCATTTGTCCTGGGATTTATGTTTAGTTTCTCAAATTAACACATATCTGAATTAGTAGTGCAGCCACTGTAAAGCAAAGTTTCTAGTGCAACCATTTACTATACAATTAATGTTGGGATAGAGTTCTTATACTCTGTCTCTCAATTTTTTTTCTTGATGATCAATAGCACAAAATAATCGAATAGCTGGGGAAAATCAAAATCAACTTAAAATGACACCCCCTTATAACTAAATGGGGTTGGTCTTCTTGCATATGTTTTTTGTAATTATAGTTATTCATTTAGAATCGGGAACGGAGGCAATTGATACATGTACCAAAATGACTTTGCATCACAAGAATGAATTGGCCATATTAGGCCTGCACAGAAAGCCAAATATTGCAGCCACACCAGTATGTTGGTTGCTGAGAGCTGCAATAGCAATAGCATAGTCAGATCCTACATTTCTCTGATAGTGCACAAGTCCAATGGAAAAGACAAATACATCACCCTTATGCAACACCTTGGTGATGTGACGATTGGCATTGCCATATTAACTTGCAAGTTAAATGGTTGAATACGACTTCGAATTCGTTCGACAACAGAAAGTAGGATCACTAGAAACACAATCACTTCTAAATTCAGCAACAGAAGCATTTGAAGGTGACCCCAGAAAATTTGAAGTCTGGTCTTCAGGACGCAATTGAACATTTTTTCCCCGTGGATGGTGGTTTGCTAAAGTTCTCATAATTCCCTCTAGCTCTATAGCTACTTCTTTCATTGTAGGTCTTTCCTCCCCTTTTAACATTAAACATTTTTTTGCGAGATGAGCCACATTTCTTACTGTCTCAATATTTCGTTCATTGACAATGTCACCATCAAGAATATGATCCAAGCGCTCTTCTTCCATTGCACAAACAAAAAGTCTTGCTAGACTTCTCTCTGCCTCAGACCTGTCATAAGAAAATGCCACTTTGCTTGTCAGTAGCTCTGCTAGGACAACTCCAAAGCTATAAACATCGCTCTTTTCTGTTAGTTGGTTTGAATGAAGATATTCGGGGTCTAAGTATCCGAATGTCCCTTGCACCAAAGTTTTTATTTGAGTTTGATCTGGAGGAATCAATACAGAAGCTCCAAAGTCTGACACTTTTGCTGTGTAATTATCATCTAATAGTATGTTCATAGCTTTCACATCTCTGTGTATGATTTGCATGAAAGTGGAGGAGTGCAAGTATGCTAGTGCTCCAGCAGTTTCTGCTGCGATCTTCAAACGTAATTCCCATACAAACGATGATCCTTTCTTTTGTTTACCATGAAGCTGCTCAAAAAGAGTGTCATTGGTGATGAACTCATAAACTAGTAAAGGCACTTCTGCCTCTAAACAACAGCCTAATAGCCTCACCACATTTTTATGATTGATTTGAGAAAGAACAGTCAACTCATTAGCAAACTGCTCACTCTGAGTTGGGGCAGCAACTTTCGACCTTTTTATGGCAACGGTTCTGTTATCTGGTAATATTCCTTTGTAAACTACTCCATAAGCTCCTCTGCCAAGGACTCTACTATCATGGTAATTGTTTGTAGCCTTTTCAAGTTCCACTGCAGTAAAGATTCTGGTTGCCTCACCTCCATGATGAGCAAGCTGTTGCTGTAACAACAAACCGCCATTTTCTCGAAAGTACTTTTCCTTGAGTGTGATGTACTTTCGTTGCTTCATTCCCCAACATATGTAACTTGAACTTCCAACAAGTAAAACCAAGATTAGACTGATACCTGCACTTAAACATTATCAAATTGGAATTTATAATGTATTTCATTCATTCTATAATTTTCTATAGCGTGTTTAATGTGCTGTGACCATAGAACCAATATCCCATGTTATTAGTCAAACACATATAACACATACCCATAACCATGAGAAGGGTCTTTGATTTCTCTTTGCAACTTCTTTCTTTGGTGCCATTGGGACATAAACAAGAGTGACTCCCAGGTGTATTTACGCACTTTCCGACAGGGCAGGGATTTGACTTGCACTCATCAATATCTGAAACAAAATCACAAAATTAAACCCTTTCATCACAAATTACTCAGATAACTAAGATCCCAACATTTAAATATTTATATATACACATGTATATAAGTATGTTCTGCATTGTGATTTGATCACCTTGGCAGCCATCTGGATGGTATGGGTTCCCTTGGTAACCTTTCTTGCACTTGCAAATGTAACCTGTAGAGCCATGGATGTTATCATTAGGCCAATCCACACACTTGCTATTTCCCTTGCAAGCAAAGTCCTTCTTGCTCTTTCGAGCAGCATCACATGTCCCATGACCCCCGATTTCCCAATTGACAACCACTGGAAGGTGGTTTGTGTTGTTGAGTTGCTCAAAACTCGTTCCGGGGGAGAATGTGAACTTGCTTTGTTCCACAAGAAAGGCGTACCTGCACGGGTACTTAGCGTACCATTTTCTATGTCGAGTTCGACTAATATTACTAATGGGAGTCAACATCACCGTAAGATTTTGCACTCCAGCAGGGAGTTGAGCTAGGGAACAGGCAAAGCCAGAGCAAGAGTCGTCGTTAATTACTGGGTCAGTGTTATTTCCATCAGAATTGTCATCACAATAGGTGACGCAATAGCGATATATATGGGGCAAGGTAGTGTTTCCATCTAGGCCTTGGCCTGGACGGGAACCTTGAAATACTGCAATAGTGCCACATCCAACGGCGAATAAATAGTTTTTGTCTTCAGAGAAGGTGAAAGGAGGGGGCAGGAGGAGCACACCGTCAGTGTCATTCTGATCTTCACCGCAAGATCGAGTGACAGGCTGCAAAACATGCATATCACCCTCCTCAAGAGAGATGTTAGTGACACGGAGCTGAATGAGATCATAAGCACTGCCTGATCTCTTTGTCAAATATGGTACCGGGTTTTCGTCATCGTGAGTAGTAGTACAGTTGATGAAGAACTCAGGGCTGCGGTAGCAACCTGGAGCGATGCCAAATGGATATGGAATTGTGAGATTACCACAGCGGTCAGAGCAGCCAAGCAAGGCCTGAGGCAGGAGGGCTTGATGATCATGTGCTGCTGCTGTTGTTGATGATGTGCTAATTGGTAATACAAGCACTAGCTCTAAAACTATTATTAGCAATGAGATCAGTCGCATAATTGGCATCCCATGTAAGGACTGAAAGAAAATCCCTTCCATGTCTTGTTGCCTAGGCAAATATGTAGACTAGAACATTGCGGAAAGAAATTAGAGGGATTTTTCATGTCAAGCCCACGAGCAAACCAATAGCTGGATTTTTAATGGCAACCCCTAATTTTTCTCAATCTTTTAATCAGTTCATCCAAGTAGGGATATATTCTTTATGTGGAATGAGGGATGGGACCTAATCTCCCATTTGACGAAAGAGTTGACCAATCCATTGCTTTGATCCTAAGGCTTACTATAATCATCTTTTGGAATTTAATGGAAGAGATCTTTACTAATTATTAGGGGAAGATATCTTTAGTAATTTAATTGAAAAGATATCTCAATCAAAATATAAAACCGTCAGTACCAGTTTTAATGTTTGACTTCCCCTTCCAAATTTGAAGTCTAATACTCTCCCCAAGATCTCGAGCATCTGCATTTAGAGATGGTGCATTTACCCGCATTTCATAAAATTTGGACCATTCAACTAATCGAATGCTTGTGAATATGCTACATCAGTTACAATAAATTTGTTTCCTTTTTAAAAAAACTGACCCTATTTAGTGCATTTGATAGAAAAAATAAATAACAATCCCTTTGATAATAAATTCTCTAGTTTTGCCTACCGCTCTCTTGGTTCTTCCTCTGTATTTGTAATCTATTCTTCTTCTTCTTTATATATATATATTTTTTTGGTTTTTTGGCTTCTTCTTCTACTTTATTTCAGAGCTTCGACTTACAAGAGGAGTCAACCAAGATGTTGTAGACTCATAATTGGTTCTAGGTTTTCAGAAAACTATGATAGGAAATTTCCTGTGCTAGGAGGCAATACATCCAACTGTTCTGAACAACAAGCAGGCCCTCCTAGTCCATCCCTTCCTCCCAAGTTCAAGTGTCGTACCACAGAGTGATGGATTGTTAATTTGGAAAATGGCTTAATATCACAAAAGGTCCCTAAGGTTTACGAAATTATCAAATTGCATCCTTAATGTTTTTTTTGTCTCATTCGTGGTCCCCAAAGTTAGTATGTGTAATCATAAATGGTCCAAGATTCTGTCAAAAACTCCGTTAGTTTGCTGACGTTACATTTATATATATATATATATATATACATATATATACCACAAACATTCTTCTGGTTCATGCACTTATCACAAATGGTCCTTGCAAAATTTTTTAATTTAAAAATATATATTGTATTTTAAATACACGTGACACTACATTATTTGATATGTGGGCTCCACATATATGCCAAATCAACAAACTAATGTAGTTTTTTAAAAATAATTTAAAAATCATAAAACTTAAAATTGAAAAAACAAAGAGTTTAGGGTTCATAAATGGTCCTGAAGGATAAAATCTTCTACAAATGGTTTTTTCATTTTTAAATTTTATGAATTTTATTTTTATTTTTATTTTTTATAAAAAAACTTCACTA